TTAATATATACTTTCTTTTTAACTTTTTTCTTATTACTATATACTCTAAACTTCTTTAGAGTTATTAGTTAAAGTTCTTTACTAATTATAAAAGTCTTTTTCTTCTATATACGCTTTTTTTTTATAAGTTATATTACGTAGCTACTTTATTAGCTACTTTAAGTTTAGTATTATACTTAGTTATTAATACTAGAGAGTATACTATTATCTCTACTCTCTTTATAAGCTTTTTAATAGTTTTAACTATTAAAGTTAGTAAGCTTTCTATATACTTTAAAAACCTTTTAAGACTTAGCTTTATTTAAAACTTAAACTTTAGAGTATTACTTAGAGTTACTAACTACTAGAGACTATTCTTTATAGTAGATAGTAGTAGAGTATATAAGTAGATATTAAGTATAAATACTATAGCCTCTAAATTAAATAGAACTAAGCTAGCGCTCTAAAAGCTTTCTAGAATATTACTTTTTATAATTAAGGTATTATAAGTAGTAATAGAGCATAGTAAAAACTCTATTTTAGTAATATAAGTAATCTTATTATATATTAGCCTTTTAGCTTAGTACTTATACGTCTTCTTTAGTAGCGTAAAATACCTAATATTAAGTAGCTATAGTAGGTATAAAAAGTATATAGATATATAAAGAGTAATTATCTTTTTTTTTCTTATAGAGCTAGTAGAAATTAATTAAGTTATAGCTTCTATAGCTATTAATAACTAGTAGATATTAGCTACTAATAACTCTTTTCTTTATATACTTATTAAAGTACTCTAGCTACTTAAGACTAAGCTTATTTATTATCTAGCTATTTTTAGAGACTCTAATAACTTAATTATAAAGTAGATTCTTCTTCTTATACTAAATAGAGAGATAGTACTTACTAGTAAAAATAATAAAGAGTAAAATTATTTACTATATTATATTAATACTCTAAATAGCTATAACCTACTTATAATTACTCTACTATACTATCTTTAGCTATTTTTAACGCTCTACTACTATAACTACTACTTTAGTTAATATTACGTTTATTATAAAGCTTATCTTATTAAAGTTAGAACTATCTTTATTCTAGATACTATACTTAGCTTTAGTATTCTATACTAGATAGAACTAGTTTTCTATAATCTTAGAATTTTTATAAAGAGCTTAAATATAGTTATACTTTTAATTAAACTTAACTTCAAGCTTTAGACAGCGCTTTCTAAAGTTTATAGCTTATTTCTTATTAACTAGATTTTAGTTATAGACTTAAAGTAAATTATTAGCTATCTTCTTAATATTAGTAAGTAAACGTAAGTATTTTTACTTTAATAGCTTTAGAATATATTATATAATTTCTATTTTTTCTAATTCTTAAAGAGCTATTAAGTTAGGTATACTATTATAGTAATAAAGTGTTCTAGTGTATTATTATCTAAGCGTAGTTTCTAACGTATTATAGTTTTTTATAGTATAATATATAGTAAGTATTATATTTTATTTAAGAGCTTAAATTATAAGCTATATCTAAGCTTTTTTTTAGTTTAATACTACGTTACTACGTTAGAGTATAGTAAGAGAGATAGAGTTTTAGTAAAATCTTAGTAAAAGCTAACTACTTACTTATACTAACTACTTACTATATACCTACGTTAGCTAAAATTATATAGTTTAATTTATAGCTATAGATTTTTCTTTAAATTAGAAAAATACTTTTAAAATATATAGTAAAGAAAGTAAAAGATATTCTATAATATTAATATAATTAGCTATTTTAGTTAATGTAATATTAATATTATAATAGTAAGTAAAAGTACTTATAGTATTACTAGTATAGACTTTAAATTACTAAACTTAATAGTATATATAAAGAAGATTTATAATACGTATATGTAATAGAATATTAGAACCTCTATATTTAGATCTTTAACTAATATTCTAGTAATTTTAATCTTATTATATTATAATATAATAATATTTAGAATAGTCTATAGTATTAGATAAAGATTAAAGAGCTATAAATTAATCGCTTTGTTAATAATCTTACTAACTTTTATTTCTAAATAAGAAATTAGAGAAGAATAAAAATGCTTATAGCAGTAAAGAGAGCGTATAACAATTCTGTATATAGCTAGTTAGGTGTTCGTTTAACTAATATAAGAGAGTTCTAATACTTATTAAGTTTATGTTAAACGTGTTCTATCGGCAGCTTATTTCGCTACCTTATTGTACTTATGATTTTCAAAATAGAGATGGTCATGCCTTTCGAGTGATGTATCTTACCAAACACGATGTTGAATCTCGTTCCACCCTGTATGTGCCGTGCCGAAGCACTTCTTATGCCTTGTAGAGATTCACTCTTCCGGCTCTACGTTCTCATCCACACCGTACTCCTCGACGATCCAAGCACAGTACTTCTCCCACTTGCTCACCCACTCCTTCAATCTTTGTGCCCGTAATCCTTTCCCAAACATTCCATCCTTGACATCCTGTGTCCACTCTTTCGCACTATAATCATCCAGACTAGCCCAACGCACACTGTTCTCCGCCAATGAGCCCAGGCCTTCAAGACCAAGATTTTCCCATCCTTGAAGCGCTTGCCAAAAGTCGTGCGACATGCCGGATACACCTTGACCAAGGATGGTGGGATCATCGTTGCAAAGCGAGCAAGGAACTCCACGGGCAAGCAGCGCTGGCAGAGGATGCGACATGATGCTCGAGCAAAGTCGTAGCACTTCATTGGATACTGGGCAGCTCTCCACTAGGATTCTCTTCTCCTTGACCATGTCGATAAGGAGTGGATGCTTGTAAAGGCTGAACCCGTGTCCTATGCGCCTCGTACCCAAGATAATAGAGTCAAAGAGATTCTCGTCAGTTGAGTCGCCGTCGCCAAGCGTTTCCCCGGCATGGAAGAAGAAAGGTATGTCGACTCCCTCTTGAGCGCAGGCCTTGCGAAACCAGAAGAGCTCGGGCGCAAGGTCTGAAAGCGGGCGGCCGAGGTCTTCCTGGCCTACGAGGTCGTAACCTGCGATAATCTCGGGGAATTCGATCTTCATCTCGATGCATTGCTTCATGCCTGGCTGATTGTTAGCACGGCAATACAAAAGCTCTCAGACGCGTTGATATTGAATGAGATGTGTGCGAGCGGTAAGCAACTTACTCTCGATCACCTGCTTCTTTCCGAACTGTCTAATGGTCGTCCAGATCATTCTTGCGCCCCAGAAGTCTTTCCCTTCCTCACTCGCCTTAAACTTCTCAATCTCGTCCGCCAGATGTTCAAGCAAATTGAAGTGGTCCGAGTCCCAGATCTCCTTCTTGCTGCTGCGGTAGGGCGTATAGAACGCTGCACGCAAGTCAACGTAGTATACGCCATCGTCGACCAGAGCCTTGCACATCCTGCGTACGAACTTGCGGAAGATAGGCTCGTAGTAGATGAGAGAGCCGAGAATAGGAAAGCATGATATGAACTTGCGCCATACTTCGTTGGGACCTTCGTGATGAGAGAGGTGCTCTGAATGGGTAATAGTGACGCGGGAGCGAATCCATTCAACGAAGGCCTTCTTGCCACCATTCGGAAAGGTATCCGCGGCTTGATTTACAGGCACCGGGGTGTTCGCAGTGTAGCCGTCGCTCCATATTGAAGCGTCATCGTTCGCGTCCTTGGAGTAGGTGAAGGAGAAGCCGGTTTTGCGCCTGGTCTTGTCGTCGGTGATGGGACTATCAGCAATAACGCAGACACCCTCAGTGTTGAAAGCTTCTTCAAGCGCCCAGTCAAGGTCCACCATGGCTTCCAAGTGACAGTGCAAGAGTGCGCCTTTCGGCATTCGCTTGACTATCTGCCACAGCTTGCTCTTCTCCATGCGCTCCTTGGCAAGTGAGAACATCATGCCTGGAAAGACATCGACATGTTCGGTTAGTAAGCTGTCTTCGTATTCCTTTGTCCAGAGGGTCTGTTGCTCCTCAAATCGAATCTGGGAGACGATGGCGCATGCTTCTTGCGCCATGGGCGAGAGATTCTGGCGGAAAAGATAGTCTGCAGGCTGTTAGGCCACTGCACAAGCTGTAGAGTAACGAACAACTTTGGTTCACGAACCGCTTCGTTGTCTCTTCTCTTGCTGTACCAAAGCGTCTCGGCCCTGTAGGTACTGTTGGATGAATGGGTCGCTTAGGTTCGGGACACCTTCGGCCTGCGCCCACTCTTCGTCGTTCGCAGCATCGTTCGTAGTCATGATAGCGACTGTGTCTGCGGCTCAGAATAAGGAATGTTTGGTGAAGGAAATGTTGTTCACAATTTGTTGTAAGAGTGTCAGACGCCGCCCTATCGGTGACTTCCGCGAGTTCCTTCCTGAATGGAGCTAGTGACTGCTGACGTAACAGGGTCTAACTCGTGCCAAGAGCGGCGAGATACGGAAGCCTGCACAGATTACATGTACCAGCAGGGCACGCGGGAACACAGGGAATGGTGTGTTTCACTCTTCGAATGTGAAGTCTAAGCCGCACCGCAATCGCCACTATTGTCCCATTCACAGCACGCGCTCTTGACGCGTTGGGGCTTTGCTTATCGATTGCCTAGCGCGCGGTGGTGCATGCGCGGGGCGGTAGCGGGTGATGGCAGCTGCACGGTCGCCTGCGATGGCATAACACATCATCTGCGCTCCATAGCACCGCAACCTCGACGCTAGACGGCGGAACCTCGCCCTGTGATCACCCACGTCTTTTATTGCCACGCGGACCGGCACCCTCACTAATTCCGTTGCTGATGCCCCTACAGTTCTGCTTTTTCTAGATCCGGGACCGTCCATACTTCACATCCGCGGCTGGTGAAGCAACAAGACTTGGCAGGCACCACTGTGCATCGCCATACCGATAGGACGACTTTCACACTTCGCAGTTGTGATACGCGCCACTAACCCGCACGCTCCGCTATCCATGGAGCCTCTTCTCTCCCGTCGATAGGCGTTCGACCAGCCTGCCACCAGCGCGTCCCCCAACCCGGTCGCCAGCCTCTCCACCGCCATGGCTTTCTTCTCTACGCTCTCGAGCTCCATCGGCCGGAAGCTGCTCCTCTACGGGTTGCGCCACATCGACATACTGGACAAAGACCCTGCCGACTTCGTGAGCGTCGATGTCGGGAGGCGCACTACACTCGAGGTTCGGGACGTTGGGTTGCACGTCAAGGTACGTCCCGGAGATGTCCATCACTGTGCGCCTAGCACTGACACCATGTTCTAGAAACTCCTAGCACTACTACACCTCACGCTCCCTCCCGAGATCCAGCTGTTGAAAGCGCAGGCCTCGCTCCTCCGGGTTACCTTCGTCCTCGAATTCGGCGTCCCCCAGATATTGATAGAGGTACATGGCATACGGGTAGAAGCTCGGTTGACCGAGCATGTCGAAGGTGCTCCCTCTTCAAATACTTGCCGACAGCACACCCAGAAACGATCCTCGCCACCTCCAACGGCCGCTTCGCCTTCCGCTCCACCCAACAACCAGTACAACGATGGTTCAGACAATGACGATGATGATGACGACTACGTGCCCACCGTAGACGAGCTGGCCAAGTCATTCATAAAGACGGAGCCTCTGGAAGAAATTCGCGAGCTGCAGCATGAGCTCGAGTCTCAACCTACGTATATGCACGAGTCGGTCGCATCGAGCGACGATGGCGAAGAGGCTTCTGCTGGTATTGGAGCGCCTCTGACGATCCCAACATATCTTCGCAATATGTTGAACACCGCTTTAGATCGTCTAAGCATAGTTGTCAACAACATCGATATAGATGTGGAGGATCACTTCCCTAACGATGCCATGGACTCGTCAAAGTCAAGCGAGACTTCACCTTCTTCTCTGAGCTTTCACATCGAGAGTATAGCGATTGACTCGACCACTGCCAAAGATGTTCGCATTGAGGCTGAGTCCACAACGTTGCCTCCCGCCACCTCGAAGCTAGGTAAGCGGAGGATGCGGGTGGAAAACATTTGCGGGCGCCTTGTGTCCGATGTCAAAAATTTCGTATCTCATTCGCAGTTCTCGCAGCCGTCATCTCCGCCTACTTCGCGATCTCAGGCGTCAAGCAGCCATGAAACCAGCAGCGAATCTGCGACGAGTCAAGTTCAAGACCAGCCTGTTGAGTCCAGGCAATTTTTCCAAGAGGAAGTGAGAAGCTCGACAACATTCCGGGGCGATGAAGAGGCGTCATCCAGTCAGATCGTTTCGCCAACAGAAGCCCAAAGTGCCGTCTCTCACGGAGAAGCTACCTCCCCCAAGCGTTCTTTATCCCAAGACCAAGCACAGCTAGCGCCGTCGCCACAAACAACAGACGATGATCGTTTTGCAGACGCTACTTCCGATGACGGTGTGTATGATGAACAACTGCAGCCTTCACTCGGCCAGTCTCAGCAACATTATGCATTGCCTGATCTTGGCGAGGGTAGTTCATCGTATGACGACGAGGGCTTGCTCAACTTCGCGATGCAGAATGACATGCTCAATTCACAACTTGAGAATATATCAGCGATGGAACAGTCATCAGACGCGGCGACGTGGGGGCTAGACGGTGCAACTTCAAGCCGACATACTCACATCTCCGAAACCGCTAACGATGCATCCGTGTCAGACTTGCCTACTGTGTCTGCTCTGGGTCGCTCCTTTCCAGTCCCGAATGTGATCGACTCACCGTCTCAATCGGGCCATATCCAGGCACCCCACATCAGTACTGACAATTTAGCTGCAGCACATGAGCGAACAACGGATGATACTCAGGAGCTTTCCGACGACGTGCACCAGCATCTTGATCCATCGCCTTCACCAGATGAAGACATGGCCCAGTCACGGTTTTTCACGCACGATGAGGCTGAAAGTATGTACATGAGTGCAGTGAGTGCGACGCAGGCTAGTTCCGCTCATGCTGGGCACGTTCCCGGAGGCTGGGACTCTTCGTCAGACTCAAGTAAAGAATCTAGTTCCGATAGGTCGGAACCGATACCAGAGGATATGATCTCCGGTAGCATTTTAGCGCCATTGCCAGAAGCAGACGATGGATGCGAGACTCCACGTCCGGGGAGCCGCCAGAGCTCGGTCTTGCCGCCAAGACCCGAACTTACACAAACCCCCACGCCTGACGCGCCCGGTCCGCGAAAACATGCCAAACGGTTTCTCACTATAGATGAGATTACTGTGTGGTTCCCCATGGCCCTCGGTGATAAAGAGCGTAATGATGCAACAAGCGAGCAAGTCGATGATGCGGCAGGCATGGAGTTTAGTCCTTCCAATTTGGGTGAAGATTCTATTTTCACGGAGATGCCAGGATCGTTCTCCAATTATGCACATTCTTCTTCACACCGTCGAAAGCCCTCCCTGGAAGCATCGTCTCGCGGACGACCTACTCCCGCATCCCTACAAACATCTCGGCCACCAGCGCAGCCCACGACAACAGGCGTGGCTTCGATCATTGTCGATGTCGGCTCCGTAGTCGGTCATATGGACATATCCACTGGCCGCATCATGGCCGCTATGTTTGCTCGGGCAACACAGACTCTGACGGGGGAACAGTCCTCAAGCGAAGGAACTGTGAAATCGAAGCCCACGGAAACTTTGGAATCATCTCCCATGAGTCTTGAAGTTTCCGTGCAGAGCATTGCTCTATCGTGGCTGGAGCACGTGTTGGCGGAATCTACGCAGGAAGGGCCGCTTTCAGAGCACCAACTGGAACTTCAACCTTCGGACGCAATATTGAGAGCCAATTTCTCGGCTATACACCTCACCAGTGGCAAGTCTTCCGGTATTTTGCGAACTCAACTTCATATTGGCAAGTTCAAATTAGCATCTTTGGATCAAGACATCATTTCCTTCCACAGCTCACGGCCGAAATCCAGACGGTCGGCCAATGTCCCGCTAGAACAACCCAATCACGATATAGAACTGAAGTACGAGCAGGGGCAAGACGATCGTATCACCATCGTCACCCGTCCCCTCAACATCTTGTTTGACATCCAGAAACTGGACGACGCGTTGGGCTCCTTTGGTGGGTTCAGCGGCATATTAGAGTTGAGCAACTCCATCAACTCTAGTAGCGCAGTCGCAAGTCCTGTCATATCGCCAGCCCGCTCTCGGCCTCGCGGTGTACATTTTGGTGATGGTCTACCTCCCCCTGTCAAAGAATCACCACCCACGAAGTCTCCGAAGATCGACGTAAAACTCGGTGAGGTATCTTTGGGCCTCAGGGGGAAGTCATGTTCCATGCAACTTCACACGACAACGGTGCGCATTGCTGTACGGCAAAGCAATGTGCGCCTCAAAGTTTCTGAGACACAGCTGACTGGCCCTTACACGGAGATCGCCCCCAAGACTGCACCTTTTTTTGGAGAAATGAAAGGCACTGAAATCAACTTTCTCTTCGCTCCTGGCGAGCAGGATCTCACTAGGCTAATATCCTTAATCACGCCATCAAAGAACCCGTACGAAAACAACGACGACATTCTCATCGAAACCCTGCTGCGTCAGCGAAAGAAAGGTTCCGTACTCCGAGTTGAAATCGCTGAAATCGGTGTTCATGTTTCAGATCTTGAACACATGAAAGCCTTTGAGGCTCTGGGGATAGAGCTGGCTCGATTATCCAAGGTCACCAAATACTTGCCAGATGATGATCGACCTGGCCTTCTAAGCCTCGCATCTGTGAAACGGCTGGATGCTCGCGTTACTATGAATGAGAAACTTGGAGATGTCTCAGTCATCTTGCAGGAATCCGCATTAGCACACGTCGGAGTTCCTGCTTTGCTTGCTGTCGAAGTAAGCAAAGCGACTGTTCGGCGCAACGAAGAAGTATTGGTCCATGAAGTTGTGGAGCTAGACCCATCGGAAGAACTACCCGTCATCATGCTGAGGATGGTGGGCGATGAGATGGAACCCATGGTGAAAGTCAAGCTGTTCAACCTATGCGTTGAATACCGAGTCAGCACGATTATGGCAGCGCTGGGGATTGCTGAGGATGGCACGGTAGACGATCTGGCTATAGGTCTGGCCTCGAGTGTCGCAACCGTCACAGGCGCATCCTCTCCTAAGACCATCAGCCGACAATCTTCCCAGGCGAGTTCGCCAGTCACAGCAGTCTCTCAGCCGCTTCAGGTCGATCTTTTACTGAGGGATTGCGCAATTGGTCTCAATCCCCGGAAATCACTGTCGAAGGGTCTCTTCGTCCTCACGGAAGCGCATGTCACGGGTAAGCAAGCAAGAAACGACTACTCTGTCACGGTCGACCTCCGCAAGGCTTCGATGCATGCTATAGATGACATAGCGCGCCTAGAAGAAGACCACGGACCTGTCTCGACCATACCCACTGCCAACGGCCAATTAAATGGGCTGAAAAACTTGGGCTATGTGTCTTTGAGTTCGATTTCGGCCGCAAAGATATTAGTCAATATTGGAGGTGATGGACAGGAACACCCACAGCTAGTGGACGTGGAGTTCAAAAATGAGCTGTTTGTTATTGAGTCATGCGCAGATTCTACACAGACGCTTATGACAATTCTGAGCGGTCTACAGCCCCCAACGCCACCATCAACCGCAGAGCGATATCGTACGACGGTACCGCTACAGCAAATGATCGAGTCATTCACTGGCGATGAACTGTTGCAAGATGAAGAAGCCGATGCCGATGACTTCATGAGCAATGCTGACTTGATGGAGGATGATCTGTCAAAGAGTCCTACTTTCGTTGGGGGACTCTACAATTCACAACCCTTACCGACTGATGAGGAAATGGGTGACAGCCTTTTGGCTGAAGAAGATCTCGGCGCTTTGCCCACACCGCCTATAACTCGCCAACGTGGCGATCGAGCTCTCCTTGAGAGCTTCCAGGAGAAGCACGAAGTCACTCAAGGAGAAGAAGCGTTTGATTTTGACGACGACTACTTCGGAGAGTCAAATATCGAACCAAAGGGTAAAGCCCGTAAATGGGATTCGACAAAGAACCAATATCATCCATCCAATGAGTTCAAGGTTATAGGCGCTCCACTAAAGGTACGCGTCCGCGACGTCAACGTCATCTGGAACTTATACGACGGCTATGACTGGCCTCAAACACGGAGCGTTATCAGCAAAGCTGTGGATGACGTTGAGGCTCGCGCCGAGGAGCGAAGGCATAAGGGACGAGAAGAAGATGACGACGATGACTTCGTTGAGCAAGACTTCCTCTTCAATTCGGTTTGGATTGGTGTTCCTGTGAAGGACGAGAAAGGAGCTCTAGCCCGACGTATCAACCATGATATTGACGATCTTGCCAGCGAGACGGGCAGTTACGCGACGTCGACAGCGACACGCTCGACTGGGGCTACTCTACGGCCTCGAAGTACTACCAAATACAGGCGTCGTCTCAAGCTCGAGCGTAGTAAACACAAAAAGATTGCATTCTCCCTCAGCGGGGTCGCGGTTGATCTTGTCGTCTTTCCGCCGGATACAGGCGAGACGGTCAATTCCGTTAATGTCCGCGTACGAGATCTAGAGGTTTTCGATCACATGCCTAGCTCTACCTGGAGGAAATTTGTCACGTGCGCAATCGATCCAGCGAAGAGAGAGCTCATTCGTCCGATGATAAATCTTGAACTCAACACGGTCAAGCCGATCACTGATCTAGCGGCTTCGGAGCTCGTCATTAAAGTAAGTCTTGATGCATGTTGAACATCCCAGTTCTTGCTAATTTGATCATCAGGTGTCTATCCTTCCACTCCGCTTGCATATCGATCAGGATGCTTTGGACTTCATTACGCGTTTCTTTGAGTTCAAAGATGACTCCGCACCCGCTAGCAGCCCGGCTGGTGACCAGCCTTTCATTCAGCGGTTGGAAGTGATGGCAGTCAAGCTGAAGTTGGACTACAAGCCAAAGCGCGTGGACTATCGCGGCCTCCGGTCCGGCCACACAACGGAGTTCATGAATTTTCTCGTCCTCGACGGCTCAGACATCACCTTACGCCACGCAATTCTATACGGAATTACATCGTTCGACAAACTTCACAAGACTCTCAATGACGTGTGGTCACCGGATGTCAAGAACAATCAGTTACCAGGCGTACTATCGGGGCTCGCAGGCCTGCGACCTATTGTGAATGTCGGTTCCGGCCTCAAAGACCTCGTCTACGTTCCAATGCGCGAGTACAAGAAAGACGGTCGAATCGTACGCAGTCTGGGGAAGGGTGTACAAGCATTCGCTATGAACACAACGTCAGGGGCAGCACGTTTGGGTGCGAAGATGGCGATCGGCGCGCAAACTGTGCTGGAAGGCACTGAGGAGTTTCTTAACCCACAGACTGACTCATCGAGCCGCCATCAATCTCTCGACTGGGATGGAGAAGATCCTAGTTCCGATACAGAAGAGCCACGCGCCGTATCGAACTACGCCAACCAGCCGATCGGTGTGGGCGCTGGTCTTCGCAGCGCGGTCAGACACTTCGAACGCGACTGGAACACTGCTCGTGACGCGGTGATCGCGATTCCTGCAAACGTCATGGAAGAGGGTAGCGGTACGGGTGTCGCAAGGGCCTTGCGTCGATATGGACCGACTGTAATCTTGCGACCTGCGCTCGGTACCACGAAACTGGTGAGCAATACGTTACTAGGCGTAGGCAACGCGCTTGATCCCGAATCGAGGCGTAAGATTGAAGACGTAAGTGATGCTACTATACTAGTGATGTGAACAGAACTAACATTTGTGCAGAAATACAAATCTTACTAGCGACCAGTCTTCGTTAACACGAGTATGAAGCCAAGTAGCAGGCCATCTCTGCTGTAGGCTGTTTGTTCTCGATCTAGTGTTTCTCTTCACTTTTCTTCAGAGCGTTTGCATAGCGACGGACGGAGTTTGGGTGGTGAAGGCGTCGCATTTCCAGCCTTTTGCTATGCCGTCGGCATTGGGCAGGCGTTGTCACACATTTTGACATTTTGATCTTTCGCTGAATACCACTTCATTTCCTTTAAAGTGTATATAATACTAGATTACAAGCCGCAGAACGTGCTTTGTGTACAACACTGTCGCCCGCTCCTGTACATGCTTTCCAAGGCTCCCATTCTGATTTTGTCTTTCCCGTTAATCATGAGCCTTCCGGACCCATAACTCCGTCCTTCTGGTATCAAGGGCGTGATTATACCCTTGGTAGGTGAGTACCTAACGATGCACCTCTGCTACCGAACTAACAGCGCCATCCCCGGACTAGCCTGTCCCAAAGCCTGTTCCCCGTCCCATTGCGCACGCCGCCTCGTCTCTACCTCACGGGCGGCACGTCGGTCTCGAAGAGGCAGGGTATCGATTCGGTCGTCTTCGCAGCTACGACGTGTCATCTCGCAGAACTTTTCGTTTTCGGGTGAATCCATATTGATCAAAAAGTCGACCTTGCGACGGGAGATGTTGAGGCTCATGGTGACGTTTCTGGTACTTGATCTGAACCTGGTCAGCTGCTGTCGAAGCTCCCGAGCGCGGAGACGCCTCACATACGTGAGAAGTTACAGTGAAACGTGGGTGATTTAGCTCAAAGTAATGTTTGGTCTTGTGTTACCCCGGTTTGATATTGTGGTTTATTGGGATGATGGTGAAAGCCTCTAGATGTTTCGGTGGGTGAAGAAACTCCGCTCAGGTAGTTCTATTGCAAATCTGGTCGTGGGAAGATTCGTGTGCCGTTTGACGTGAAGAAATAAGGACACACAGGATTTATGTGGAGGGGCGGCTGAGGCCGCCCCTCAAACTTGACCGCAGTCAAGGTGCATGAACTGGGCCACGTTTGTGTGACCGGCACCATAAATGCATGGGCTGAGCTCATGCGAGCTTCAACTTGCTCCCCGACACATCTGTCGAACCGGTCAAGGCTCAAGCATAGCCACAATATCATGGCCCCGTCTACCTCGCCTCTTGGTATCGATCTCGCAGACGTCAGAAATGGCTATCCATCGCTAGCCAAATGGATCGCTCGAGATCCTGACGATGAGCCGCTTGTGTTTCGCAAATTCGGGGTACTTGCAGCGCGCAACATATCGTCGCTGCAATGTCAGATGGTAACACTCGGAGATGAGATCGAAGGTCTAGAATCTGAGATCAGGCAATCAGCCGATCTGGACACCCGCCGGTCGCTTCAGCGGTGGGAAGTTTTGTGCGAAAGGGCGATACCCGGTTCTAACAGCCTCGAATTGCAGCTTCAAGTCAAGCTTAAAGAATTGAAGGGGTTATTGAAAGAATACTGTTAGTCGCTTCATCACATCTTAGGCTTCATGCTGATTCATTGGCCAGACGAAGCGCTGACCTTGCGCGCTCAAGTCGCCCAACTCAGTAAACCCAGTCAACGAATCTTGACCACCGATACGGACTATCTTAACGGAACCGCGATTCGAAATATGCCGGCCTCCTCGAAGAAGCTGATATTTGGTCGCGCGAGCAAGTTTCTGGAAGATACACAAGACCTGGTGGCCCTTCAAAAGCCCTCCAACCAAGATTACCTATCTCGTTCGCTGAGGAACCACTGGCTCTTCACCAAACATTCACCACGCGAGGAACTCGACAGATCAAACAGATATAATGACACACTCGTCGCACAGGTCGTGGCTGCGATAAGCATGGTGCTCGCTGCACTTTTGCTAGTCGGCGCGATTGTTAGTCTCTACTTTTTGAGCAACCCAAACGCAAAGCTGGGGCTCATAGCCGTATACACATTGCTATTTGCACTGAGTGTGAGGCTTTGCACGAACGCAGGACGAGCCGAAGTCTTCGCTGCAACTGCTGCGTATGCTGCTGTATTAGTAGGTTCGTTCCGCCCTATACGAGACCTTGTGGCCTCTGCTAAATTTACGCAAAGTGTTTGTGAGCGGTGATTTCGGTGGCAGCAATAGTGAATGTTTCATACAGCTCGAAGGAGGACTCTGGAAGACTGTGAGCTGTCCCTAGGAGGTGAAGCCGGCTATAGGGAGCGAGCTGAACACCACTTAGCCTATATGCTCTATTGAAATGCGAGCTGTGTGCTTTGACGTGTTCAGCGTCCAGTAAGACCCTGGATTTCAAATTGAAATCTGACAGGCGTGCACGTGCCAAGACGCAAAAATTGTGCCACCAACATACCCAGACGTGCCAGATAAGAAGCGCGTTCGCACATTTCGCCATCTAACGCCTTCATGACGATTGTTTCGGCAGCGCATAAAATCGCGTCAAGAAGAGCGAGTGACGCGTACTTGAATACTTAGAAGAACATGATTACTGATCCCGAGGCTGTCCAAACACCATATAACAGCAGCCTGGTTATGCACGCACGATGTGTACAGCTACCCGGTCCAAGATCTTTTCACGTTCACGTTGCACATATCTATCCTCGAGAAAAATTATCCAAGGTAGTGAACAACGGGGCATGAGTTCATTAATATCGAGATGCTTTCTAAAGCCGGAGAAGAATCCGTGAGAAGAAGACGATCGTCGGGTGTGGCATCTCGAATTCGTACAGAACCATCAATGCTTTGATGATCCGGTTGATGCAGCTCTAGTAAGTATACCTGAAGCCCTTCTGGTCGCCATCCTGTGCGTACGTTAATATGTTGCCACTTGAGTACAAGGTTGAGAAGACATACATCATTGTACTCCAGTTCGAGCTCACCACGATCCGCACGCTTGTTCAAGCTCCAGGATCTCAGTGTTATGAGGATGACAATGACGATTGTGAGCAGGCAGCACGCAATGCAGGCGTACAGTCCTGGCTCGTATCCGGGCTTGTCTTGTTCCCTACTCGGCATTAGAATGGCACGGTCGATGGAATGCAGTTTGCAGATACATACCTGAAAACGAGACCTCCAGCGATACCACCAACACCACCCATGCCGACCAAGATGGCAGAACAGAACGCGCGCTTCCACTGGCCTCTGATATTGTTCGCCTGGTATGACATCGTCGCGGGGATGTTGCTATTTGCGCCAGCGGTGGTCAAGAAGACGCCGAAGTACCTGACGTTCGGATTGGAATGGAAACCCATGATGGGCAGACCGACAAGGCAGAGAACCATATTGAACAGAATGATGGGTCCGCGAAGGTGGTATTTGTCTCCAAGCCAGCCGGTGGTGTACATGACGATGGCAGCAAAAGCGTAAGGAGGAGCAACGAGGCACTGGGCAGCGCCGGTGCTGAAACCCATGTTCAATGTTAGGATGATGGGCAGGAAGTATGCCAGTGCGTATGTGACTGTGGTGGTGTTGAAGAATATCTATACCCGTCAGCGAATGGGGGATCATTGGAAATCTTGGGGCGTACCAGAGCGAAACCCCAGATTTTGATGTCAGCACCACCCTTGAAGAACTTGGCCATGGACCATGGCTCTGGCCTAGCATCACCACGATCCCTGTTGACGCGGTCGATGATGAACATGGCTTCACGCTCAGTCAGGAAGTTCCACGACTTATGCGCCTTGTCCGGGAAATCAACCAGAGCCCAGTAACCGACGATACCAAGGAAGCATGTGAGCGCGCCTTCGATGATGAAGATCCCTAATTGGAAGATGCAACGTCAGCAGAGTCGCATCAAGGCGTAACCGGGCGATGACTTACAGCGCCAACCGTTCAGGCCCTGCTGTCCCTTCAGTTGCATCAAGCCGTAAGCGAGGATACCGGCGCAGGCAGATGCCAAACTTCCAAGGATGTAGAAGCATGAGTATCGCTTTCCAATATCAAATCGGGTATCTGAGAGGGGTCTTAGCAAATTGCGGCGATCCAAGGGCCGGCATGCGCTTACACCAGGTGGACAGCAAGTAGACACAGCTCGGGAAAAAGCCAGCTTCTAGGACTCCCAGGATGACTCGTAGCGCGGACATGGTACCGTAACTATCGGCAAAGCCCATGCCAATCATGACACCGCCCCACAGCACAACGATAGCCGATAGGAAATTGCGAGGTCCGAGATAACGACAGATGACGGTTGCCGGGGGTTGGAAGACGATGTAGGACGCGAAGAATACGATGGTGACGATGGAGTAGCGTGAAATTGAGCCCTCTAGGAGACCGAGTTTGAGGTCAACGGTCATGCTACTTGCCGTTAGTCTTGAGGACGCGCGAATTCACGTGTCGTTCACGAACCCAGCTATGGCAGCGGCACTAAGGTTGGTGCGGTCCATCAGACTGATGCAGTAGAGCACTCCCACGGTTACGACGAGGCGTCGGTCGATGCGATGAATGATTTTCTTCTGCTCGCGCTCGCTGAACTCGCACTCGTAGCCGGAGCCGTCCTGGGAGCCGTCGACATTCTCCCTAAGAGAGACGGGCCTCTTCTCGAACGCGTCGTCGTCACGCATAACAGCCACTTGGTTGGCCATTGTTGGGGCGCGTAGTGTAGGTGTTGACCTCTAGGGCAGTAGGTGGTGAAGGTGGGTTGTCCGGGTAGGAGCACGGAAGTCGCACACGATAGACGCGTTATATGTCAAAAAGCACCTGCCGTTTGCCTCCCCGCCTGGACGCTGCCAAGTGAAGTGGGCGTGTTGGGAAGGCATCCCGCAGGCAAAGTACCGAGGCTCGGGGATTCACCACTCATTCATCCAGCGTGTGGATACTCATCGAGGACGATACGACGCCATCAGCAGCAAAGCAGTCCACCCGCGGGAAGGAGCGAAAACGCGAAGGCGATGAAAGCTGGGGAGAGGCTTGGCGTGTGGAGACCCCGCATGCTAGCGAAAACCGCCGTGGCTTCCGGATCCACTGACACGCCAGATGACCTGCGAGCGAAGCCTTCCCACCAGCCGGCCGCCCGTTCTTATCGTCCGCCATGGCAAAGCTACTTCTAGGGACGAGAGCTGAAGATTCGGCATGGCCCGGCTGGCGTGCTTTTCTTTGTTCGACCTCACGTTGTGCGACCCAGCTATCAAGCGATCAGCGTCACCACGTTTCAACGACACGCGCGGGGTAAGCGGGCACGTTCCTGATGCTAGAGGAACTCCACATGAACACATTCCACCTTTCAGACTTGCCCCAGGTGGGAGACTGCTCCGAACTGCTTTGCGGCGTGTGTGGTTCGAGCCGCATTGAAGCTTGGGGCATTGGCACTGATATCCCGTTCCAAGCCTCCGGCGCCTTGGCAGGCTGTTGTCGGCGTCATTCTGATCATTCTCGCGATGCTTGACGCTGAGGAAGATTTCCTTTGCAGACGCTTGCGGCACGCCTACCTCCGCGGAAGACCCGGTAGCCAGCGGCTTGGACTGCGGCGCGAATCCAGAGTCTCACATTGTATCAGCTCAGCAGAACTGCTCCAGCTTTTGCAGGGACATCAAATCCGGTACTGTATTACAAAGCCGTGAATGTGTGGGGCTTTGGCGAGGAAACGACGCCGCATGTAATGCTCTACAACCGAAAGCGAAACCTTCAACACATCGACTCGCTAATTGACAGTGCCTCTAGTCTAGACCAATAGGCTCCACCAATCTTGTCCCGAACCTGCCATCATCACAAGCGCTCGCTTGTGACTCCTTCAGTATCCGTCGCTAGGCCCGACAGCAAGGGATGCTGTGCATGTGTCTACGGGTGCACAGCATCACAGACGTGGCATGATTACACCACTCGGTATCTACGCTCTGCACCAGTTCGTTTCACTTTCGTGTCTATGATTAAAGTAAGGGATGTTCTTGTTAATTGTTCGACCTGGATGCTTATTGAAGGTATAAACCCCAATCATGGTTGTAGATTGAGAGGATATGCTACGCACCTAGAAATTCTAGTTTTCCTGTATCTACGACACGCGTTTCTTCCTTTCCATACCGGTTCATCATTCATTGGGAACCAGATCTCATGCACCCATAACCAGGAGTTCGGAACACGGCGATCGTTGCATAGTAACCCGGTGCTTGGGAGCCTAATCGGTAACCTTCCCAAGACTCTGGCTTCCCAGTAAACTCTCCAATCAGCGTTGAGTTCCTACTCAAATGACCGAGGCAATCATGGATTCGACTTTCTAAGCCAACGACACTGAGATCTCAGCTTTGTAGATGCATCCATCAGGCGTGCCGCGACCACAATGTTGTGTGGCTCCTAAGTCCTCAACACCACCACACCTTGGTAACTCGTATGCTGTCTCCAATCGCGGCGCATGCATGAAAAGAACCGAGGCATTTACGATATCACCGCGTGGCATCTCAACACTTCCCGCGAGGCACCTGAACATGAACACAGTTTCAAGGACCGCATTTACACCATCGATATTGGAAGCGCGCGATTCTACCAATGAGCTGGCTTGGAACCAAACAAGTTCCGAGGCAACGCGCCGTCAGATCCAACGGCCAAGGAACGCCATACACATCGACACAAGCCACAAAAGTTGCAGTAGGCAAATAGATAGGCTTGGACATTGGCAAGAAAAAGATTCGGCTTCGCTTCGCATGATGAAGGCGCAAGATCGCTGAAGCAAGCTTTCTTCAGTCTCTTATTACGCGTAACAGCTCTCGCATGTGACGACGTTTGAAGTAAGTAATGCTATGTGGCCATGGCCTCGCTGTTCCTACCATTCTCGACTCAATATGTACCGGTCCCGCAAATTTTGCAACTACGATGAATCAACAATCCCCCAGGCCTCTCGGTGGCTTTGGCATCCATTTCTCTCCGGCAACCGTTCACTCGAAATAGACCGCACAATTTCCTTTCTGATCCTGGTCTTCCAATTACAGGTCAAAACCTGATGAGACAAGTACGGTACACTTGATTTCGCCATTATCTCGCCCTCTACAGCTGAAGGCATCGGGAGGCAATAACGACAGATGCTGCGCACTGCGAACTGGAGGTGAGGTGCTCGAAGTTACTACATGAAGTATGCGGCATGATGAGACCGTAGCTACCCCCGGAAGAGACGCTGCTCGCGATTGATACATTATAGGTCTGCTAATTCTGTTTTCGGTGGTCCTCGGGGCAACACAGTAGCGACGTCTAGTATGTGGTCACTCTCACTTTCCTGGATTCCGCACACTCCTCGCGGAAAATCCATCGCAACGATACCGGGCACATCGTCCACTCGAGGTATTCTATTGTCACATAAGCAGACAGTAAGAGAGGATATGTGTCTGCACAGCCTCTGTTACGGCATCAACAGTCTGTAAGAACCTTGATCATCGATAAAGATAAATCGTAGAATCTTGGCAATTAGAAAGAATAAAGTCGTATGATCAACATTCAGTTGTCGCAGTATTAAGAGCAAATAATGCTGGCAAAATCGGATGAGAAAATCTACGGGCATCAACCATCGAATGCAATCCTGTGCAGCCTTTTGCAGACGGCACATCACTAACCTGAGTATCTGAAAGGAAGTCAAGCGACACATAAGGCGATAGGTGATGCCTGAGCAAATTGGTGATGGCTGCCCATATCGCATGAGGGGATTGGGTCGGGCAAGGCAACTTTAGCCGAAGTCGAGCCGTCCCACTATGACAACATCGTGCCGAACTCCACCTCAGCATCCCAGCTTGCGCTGCCCTACATCCTGTTTACAGCATTCCACAGCATGTCTCCCACGCGCGTTGATCACGTCGCTCATGCGATACCCACTCTCATTAACCGTCTACCTACTTGAACAACACAATGTACGCACTGACGCTAGCCGGCATTCCCATCTCCATTGGCGCCAACGAAGCGGTACACCAACAGCGGCTGCTAGACGAAGAAGCAGAAAGCGATGAGCGCCAAGAAGAGTTCTACCTAGACGTATTCTGTGACGCGAAGAGTCGGAAGAGGGACGAGGTGGACGGCGCTCTCGTAGTACTGAAAGATGGCAAGGTATATGCGACGAATCTACTTGTTTCTTTGGACAGGCTGACCAGTGTGTAGATACGGCTTTGGCCCAAAGATCCGGAAACAGGACTACCAAAGCCCGGTCCGAACGATGAGCAACTACCACATCCATTTACCGGTTTCTATCTACCGTTCCCATCATCAGAACTACCGCATCGCCCAATGCCTGCAGCGCCAGTGCTAGGCCTCGTCAGTACTGTGCCACCTTCACCACCTCCATCGCCCGCTTCATCTGCACCATCCACGCCATCTCCCACGCCCTCCAACAAAGCGCCTTCGAAACCCACGAAGCCCAAACTCAATTGGCTTTATGCCAACAAGACGACGCGCGAATTACGCTATGGACCGCGTGTTGAAGCGAAGAAGCATACAGTCGGGCCTTGGGACTGGACAGAGGATGAGCAGGGGCTCACGTTGGATGGAGAGGAATGCCTTGTTGCCGTGGAAGAGGAGAAGGGGGGATATGGTTGGGCTGTGTACTGGGATCGGGAAGATGATTGTTTGAAGGAGCAAGGGATAGGCAAGGACAAGAGGGTGCTGAGATGTAGCTTGGAAAGGAGACTTGTGGAAGAACAGAGGGTTAAAGGTTTGGATGAGGACTGATGCTACCCAGGTGCTGGTCGGAAACAGGGCGAATAACATTGGTATTCCAATCGTCTACACCAGTATGCTTGATACCACTAGATGGCTGCACAAGTACTATTAACCACCGGTTTTAAGACGACGTTTCGCCGGTATGCAGACGATCTTGGCCACTGCCTTCACTGGAAGCATTGATTCTCATTGCATCGGAGCTGCAGCGTTTTCTTCTAGTACAAATCGGTAGGCGTATGATACAAAGAGCACTACTCACCGCCATATACCTTTATGACGAGACGTGTTGAAACACAAGCGTTGTTGTGTCAGTGAACGCAAACCTCGCGCGCTCTGATTGGACGAGGGCGATCGACGGTGAGCGGGGAAACGCGTGCAGGGATGTGCACGTGTCGGGGCCTCGTTGCCGGGCAGACGCAGGGAAATCAACACAACATCAAATCCACGCCGTGCCTGCATTAGCCACACCGTCCCACGCACCCTCCTATCCCCGCGCACACCAGCACCAAAGAAGCCGAATTCACGCCAGCCTCTTGTCTCTTTCACACTACCGGACGGTCCCGGTGCTTTGCTAATCCCTCTGCGATCAGAACACCATTTGCCCCGCTGCGACTCGCGACTCCGTGGTAGATTTTGCAGACTTGCAACGCAACTACACCAAAAGTCTCGTCTTCAACTTCGATATAGACAAAATGAGCGGTGCAAACGCCAACATCGCAGCGCGGTTCGTCCCCCTTCATCCACGCACTCCATCATCTATGGACCTGCCACTAACACTCTCTCAGTCTGCAAAAGGAGCTTATGGACATCATGACCAAGCCCACCCCTGGCATCACCGCGTTCCCCGATGACGAGAACATGACTGTCTGGACTGCCACCATCGACGGCCCGGCCGACACCCCCTACGCCGACCTCGTCTTCAAGCTGTCCATGGACTTCTCCAACAACTACCCCTACATGCCGCCGACCGTCCTCTACAAGACCCCTATCTACCACCCCAATGTCGACTTCTCAGGCCGCATCTGTCTCGACATCCTCAAGGACAAGTGGAGCGCCATCTACAACATCACCACTGTCTTGCTGAGTCTGCAGAGCTTGTTGGGCGAGCCGAACAAGTGAGTCAAAGACTTGTCTTTGAACAAGCGTAAACAACGACGTACTGACATGGAATAGCTCAAGCCCTCTCAACGGCCAGGCCGCAGAGCTCTGGGACAAGGACCCCGCCGAGTACAAGCGCCTTGTCCTCGCCCGCCACAAGGCTCCCGAAGACCTGGACGCGTGAGCGCCTTCGCCTCATCTACTTGGATCTGACAGTGTCTCGCGGCTCGGTGCGTCTGACAATCGGCCCGGCATGCTGCTTGACGGCACAGTTTGTTGCGCATCTTCAGCGGGGCGTTAGGTCTTAGTCGATTTCTTGACATCACCTGGGATAACAAGCAGGATTGATATGCTGGGTTGACTTTTGGCTTCGGCATGGAGTTGCATTCGGCGCTTTATATTGGTTCGCATTGCGACGGCGTTGGATAGTGTCAAAGGATAGTCACAGTAACTCGACTTTGATGCCTTGTGGCGTTGCGATCTCAGGACTTACGAATACCTACGAAAAATCTCTGTTTCACAACATGCCTTCTTGATGCCTTTGTTCTGTTGAGTGATGTTGCAGTGCCATGCCATCGGTGGCTGCTTATCCCACCAACACCAACTTACCCAGCCATCCCCTCAGTGTACGACAAAACGTACAAACCTCATTAGAGTAAAAGATGCATCACGAGAATAGGACAGACACAGATCATCATCTACTGCTCGTGTGCGCAAAAACATGGCGGTGTCGCCCAACACAGGCGGCCTCAGCAGTGCGATCGCCTTGCCCCACGCCACTGCCGCTCAACGCGGGATCGAAGACCGGGGTCACGCCGCACCTTCGGAGTCTGCACTTGCGCCCACGCCCACGCGCCCAGCGCCGTCCCCCAGGGCCTGACCGACCTGCACATCAGTTGATCACCGCGCGCCTCGCCGATCAGGGCACGCAATCCACGATTTTGCTTCTTCCAAGTTTTCTAGACTTTCTAGACAACTGAAACTAGACAAGCTGCGCAAGTCAGGTTAGTGACGACGTACATGGCGGACTGACAATGTACGACCTGAGATTACAAAGCCATGCGATGCGTTATGAACTTCTAAATGGAGATTAGATGGGGTCTGGGTCATGGCGTTATGCATGACGGCGTTTCTGAGGTGGTGGTGTGTTGTGGCTGGGCGGCTGGGAAGCCCTTCGGATCGGGGATGCGCAATGGGAAGGTCTGAGTGCGACGCTATTATTTCCGCAGCGGCTGTTGAGGCAGACTTAATATTCTAGGTTTACCACAATCAATTACGGACATTGGATGCGTGGCCAGCCATGTGGGAGCCACTCTGTCCGGCGCCCAATCTCCCGAAGCCTCGTATTGCGTCGCGCGCGTAGCCAGGAAATGATGCGGACCTCTTGTGATGTGACAGGAGGGTCATCCGTAACGGTGCTGACGTAGTGTTCGTGAAGGATGTTTTTGCTCGGACTTGCTTTCCAATGTTAATGACATTTGCATAGTATAGGGGTAGTTCTAGATCAACGTTGTGTACTGATGTGCGGCTTTCAGTACCGCAGAATCGCGGAGAAAAGCAAAGTCTCCATGCAGAGTGGGTATCAGCCTCATTCGTCAGGGATAAAATCCGATCATGATGAATACGCCCGGTTTGATCGGGTAGCACGAATTAAGCGGGAGGCGAATACTCAATTACCCCAGTTGCCAGTGCAGTCATCTGCAGACCCAGAAAGTTGCTGGACAATGGCGAGGCAAGTTTTGGGGCTGAATCGCGATATGCAGTTTCGATCTCAGGTTTGCAGCGTTGCTTTTCGACATAACGTTGCACGAACGAGGGGCGAACCCATCGAAAAGTAATCGCCCTGACATCGTTGTGCTCACTTTCCATGGAGATTTGATGATCTTGTGACGGCAGTTTGTGGTACCTCATCTACGTACCCCGCCATGGCCTCGCAATGCAATATCGCCAAAAGACGGGGTCAGGGGTGCAGATATTATACCTCGGATGCCTTCCAGAACACGGAAGGTCTCCAAATTGGAAGACGCTTTGCAGACCCGATGAGGTCGGGAGTGACGGCTGATCGATGTTGATCTTTGACATCAGCTGTTCGCATGGCTTGCTAGCAATGTTTCTTAGATACACTGGGTGGGCAACACTGGCGAGCGATACGGACTGTATATGCAGGTCAGCGTTGGTCTCGCTGCAGGTGCTCGGGAAGGTCAGAAGCAACCACGAACACACGCTGCTCGTCTACCTGCAGCCGTCGTTACTCATGCACATGTTGAGTAACATGTTCGTTCACGCATTCGGTTATTGTTGCTGGCCGTCGAACCGGACGCGAGGTTCCGACGCGGATGGCTTCTAGTCTCTGATTTAGTCTCCACCATACCGCCTGACGCTGCAGCCGATGATATTCTACGAATCATAGAAGCAGCCCTGCTTGCCGACGTACGCCTGGTCAAATGGTTCGTCGTAGTCGATGAGTGTGGCTGACTGCTAGAGGTGGGGGGGTTGGAGGGAGTGGCATGACTCGCATGAAAACTTTGAAGCACAACGAAATCAGCGAAGAATTATGTAGTCGTTTCGAGACACTGATGAAAGCTTGAAGAGCTGCTGGTATTTGCAGAGTTCCACCATAGCTCCCATAAGTGAGTCGTTCGAGGAAGCAAGCTCCCCACTCTCGGTGGAGGGTTCCGCAGGCACCAAAATAGGTCGGGCTTGGATGACCCTGTCATGGCGCCTCCCGATGAAGCTGATCTAACCAGCACCGAACCCGCCGCGCCGGATGACAGCGCGGGTGACGCGATGCCCCCAACCGAAAGCCTCAGCCCGTGAGGAATCTTTCTGGTCAGGCGATGCGCCCTGGGGGATGGAGAAAGCCTCACTGACAATACTGGAGAGGCAACTGCAGGCCAACGTGAAGCATGGCCTTGCTATGGTCTCAAACACGGACAGGGCAGCTTGGATTCGAAACAGGTACAGCACATACCCGACCCTGCCTGGCGCACCCGGCTCCCAAATTCCGCGCCCGTCGTTTTTAAACGCAGGCCATTTGCTGCCCGCAGTTCTGCCACGAGTGATGGTGGACCCGCCCAGGCTTGCCAGACTCAGCACACCGTGCAGCTCTGGTCAGCGTGTTGGAATATGGCGCAGCACTGGAGATCGAGTCCCGAGTCAAAAGCTGTCGCTCTGCGCTTTTTGCATGCTGTGATGATGGCATCGTATCGTGACGAGCATGCTGTTTTGATAAAACGAAATGGGACCAGTGGGTGTGAATGGCAATGCCTTGCAGCGGCCACAGATTGAGGTAGCACGAGGTACCTTGCAAGCGGGCCGCCGCTGGATTTGGCACCCTGAAGCGTAATCGTGCTATGCCTCGACCGCCCTTGTCGGCACCACCGCCTTCTCAGGCATGTGTGCTGGCCCAACACCGCAACTCGCTCGGCCTCCGTCCAGCTCACTACCCTTCACTTTTGCGTGTGAACACACTGCATCGTTATAGCAACATTGTCTGGTTCTCCCAGCCGTTGATCCTGTGCGTGACAACCAATCGTTTCAGCATCGTACCTTGATATCCGTGCACGCTTGCTCGCTGGATTCCGGGCGCGCTATGACAGTGACAGTCTGACCTGTCTGACGGTCCTCCGAGCAGCGTCCTTTGTTCGTTCCTCCGTCCTCCTCGAGCCTACCAACGCCTCACCCAAACGCCAGAGACGTCTGTGACGGGTCTCTGCCTCGGACCCGACTGCACTGCTTGCTCTTCGCTCAGTGCCTGGGTGCTCTCTCCATGCATTGCCTCTCCTAGCAACATCCGGGTGCGAGCTTCACACCTCGTTCCGCCTCTTTGATTCCATAGACGCCAACAATACCAACATGGCGACCTCGCTGCTCCCCCCGGGCGGCATAGCCCTTGTCGGGGCTCCGGATAGCGACGCCGGACTTAAGGATGACAGACGACCGCCTGTGCAGGCCATGCAGGTGGACATTACCCAGGACATTGTCGACGAGCTCCTGGCCAGTGTCAGGAGCGGAAAATCACCGCAGATAATCTTCGGACGGACTCCAGTATGTGTGCACGCTTGGTGTTCCTGGGTGGTTCGACCCGGAATGGGGGCTGGCACGAGCTGGGCTAACCACAACAACAGCAACTCAAGTATGGCGACAAGACGCACATGCTGCAGAGCAGCAGCGAGCTCCACCGATACGAATTGTACAAGTCCAGCGGGACTGGCAGCCCGGACAGCCTCGAGTTCGCGGGCATGATCAACCACAGTCTGATGGTACACAAGGCGGAGGACGTGACGGCAGGCGTAGACTCGGCGCTGGAGCAGCTACGGAGTAACATGGCAGCGATATCAGAGTTCAAGGAAGCCAACAAGTATGCCTCCCCGGTATCCCATGGCTGCCCACGATCTCTGGCATCAAGTCGAGAGACTCGAGCACCCCTGTCACGGATGATTGCCATGATGAGACCAAGTTGTGTATACCAGGACTGACAAAGATTGCTGCAGGACCATTGTCGGCGATGCTGCTCCCGGGCGCACACCAGCCCACCGCCGCTTCCCGTCGACGGGCTTCAAGGCATCGCACCTCGCTCCTTCTATGCTGGGCTCGCCATCGCTCAGCGCGTCGTCGTCGCCCATGCACAAGCGGGCTCCTACCTCGCAGCCGAGCAACAGCCATGACGTGATCGTCAGCGCGCTCCGAGTGCCCATCATCCACCTCCTTGCGCGGGAGCCCGCCACCGAGGCCTCTCTCGCCGCCACCTGCAGGACGTCGCCGGCCAACATACGAGATGTCTTGCCCAAGATAGCCAAGCGCTCTACTGCCGACGCCGACAAGTGGCAGCTGACAGACAAGTCGTTCCGTGAGGTGAATCCGTTCAAGTTCCCCTACCAGAGTGCCGAGGACCGGCAGCAAGCCATTGATGGCGCCATCAAGTCGTTCGACCGCCAGCGGTTGGCAAAGGACGACAAGCTCTGGCAGATCCTGCTGCCCCGTGACCAGAGAGGCCAAGGCATATGCTTGTCGCGTTCGACGGTGAAGGCGCCGGAAGCTAAGCCCAAAGCCAGCACCCCAATGCACAAGATATCTGATCTCACCAAGAAGAAGACGGTCACGAAGAAGGCTGCGGAGAAGCCTGCAGTTGAGAAGAAGCCCAAGGCCGCCAAGGAAGTGGAGATCAAGCCGAAGTCGTCCATGAAGGAGAAGTACTTGGCCCGTGAGAAGGCAGCCGCGGCCGCGAAGGAAGTGAGCGTGAAAGAGGTGAAGGAGGAGCAGCCCACAATAGCAACAGCCCCAGCCTCTTCGACGCCTTCAAGCTCAACTCCTCGCCCCGTCGCACCTTCCAAATCCAATACACCTGCCGCCGACGCCTCGAAGATACGCAACAAGAAAGCCCCCGCTTCAGAAGGCACCACCAACCCACGCGCAAAACCCAAGATGAGTGGCCGCGATTCCCAGCGAGACCGCCCCGCCAACCGGCCCTTCAAGCCCACCATGCCCATCAACACCAAGCCGAAGAATCCCTCGCCGCTGTCCGCCTCGCCGCCTGTCAATGCCAGCGACTTCGAGGACTCGCACCCAGTCCACAAGGCGCTTGCGGCAGCTCCATCGCCCGCCAAGTCCGGTGGTAACTCTGACCGTTCGCTCAAGCGCAAGGCGAACGACATCGACAGCGACATTCACAACCACAACCTGGCTGTGAAGAAGCCGAGTGGCGACCGCGCAACTCCTACTCACACCCCCTCACACACCAACGGCAAGGCCAACGGCTCTACGCCTTCCAGTACGAGCTCCTTGAAGCGCAAGTCGGACGACTCTTCCTCCTCCAACACTCCCACCACCGCGCCCAAGGTCCGCAAGGTTGCTAACATCGACACCGGCCTCGCCTCGCGCTACCACCACAACAACCCGCGCGCATCCCCAGGCGCCTCCTCCACATCGACCACCTCACCCTCCATGCCCAACTTGAGCTTCCGACAGACTGTCGAGCTCTCGCAGAGGTTCCAGAAGTACTATAAGAAGTACGAGGAGCTGTACTGGCAGCTGACGGAGGCGGAGAAGCCCCCGACTGAGGCCCAGAGGAACGACCTCCTGAAGATGCACAAGAAGCTCGAGGAAATGAAGAGAGAGATCAAGGCGGGTGCCGTGCACCGATGAGCACCACACACTACCCGTCACTCACGACGCTGCGCTTAGTGCGCATACGACTTACTACATTACAACCTGCATATATACCCACGGCCTACCGATCTCATAAGGATGGCAGCGAATTGCATACCCACAAAAAGGTGTTTGGGATCTTTCCTACTGGCGGCGTTTGGATGGCAAGACCGGTCACGGATGCATTTGGGATACGGTGTTTTTGTATACTTTCTACTTTCCTTATTCATCAATACGTGTCGCCCACGATCGCTCTCTACATCCACGACTGCGATGATATCTTAATGCTGTCGGTTACAGAAAAGGATCATCTACGAACAATTGCATGGCGCAGTAGCTCTGTTTCAATCACTTCAAATCAATACAATCCCAGATGATGCAACCTTTCTCAACATGAATAAACTCCGTGTGAACTCTGTCCAGACATGCCGATCACTTGGTGGTGCCTGTATACTCCTTGAAGTCCGCTAACGCCACATGCTGAGTAAACCTATGGATGCTGCAGCCTGCATCAATACCACGTCCAGCACGTCAAGACCCCGAATAACGATATTAGAGACCACAGATTAAAAGCATTCATCTGTAGCTGCAATGGCATCACAATCTAGATCGTCGCGTCGATCGCCGCTCCTAGGCCCGCTCCCCGGCAAAGACGCCCAACGCCCAGATCCCAGCCGCGGCCCACGATGGTGCAACAGCCGATCGCGCAGCTCTCGAGATCTGCGGCAGCTACCCCCCTGCCAAACGTCATCCATTCAGCCCTACGCGCTAAACCTCCGCTCTAACGCTCTCTTGACGCCATCTTGAGCACACCACCACCCGTCAAGCCGTCAACCATTGTGTGCACGTTAATACCCGCGCGTGTCCCTGCTACCTCATCACTCATGCGCTTGCTACGTAATCTCCTCTCCAACTTTACACGTTCAGCACGAACAGCTCCGAAACGCGAATACGCTCACGTTCACGACGTGCAGATTAAGTGGGAAAGAGCACCAGTTCAAAATCACGGGGAAAAGCAACGGGAAGAAGCCGGCAGTATGTCTCTAAACGGTACGTAAGATCACATGGTTCAATTGAGAAGAGGAAACAAGACATCGGGATCCCGCATTGGTCGTCTCATGTCTCAAGTCTCAACGTTCGGGAACCAGCCAAACGGTTACGCGACATCCCGATCCTGTGTTCATTTGCATGAAACAGTTTCGTCGCGGACTCGGGATCTTCAGGCACGCGTTTCGCAGTCTCAACGTCGTTCATGCACTGCGACGGGTGTTTGCGATTTGATAATGAGCAGGTGGCATGTCCATGCCAGACATATACAAGGACCCCCATCACCAACCCACCACGGCTAACACACCACAGTCTTCAAGCAACCCCTTGCGCTCCACTCGACACAGCCCCTAACCGGCTTCACGCGCTCAGGCTATTGCGAAGTCCCCGCCTCGGACGCCGGCAACCACGCCATCGCGGGTGTAGTATCGAAAGAGTTCCTCGACTTCTCTGCCGCGCGGGGCAATGACTTGCGCCAAGTGGGGTTGACGGATGGCTGCAAGTGGTGTCTTTGTGTGAGCAGGTGGAAGGAGGCGTTTGATGCGAGGACGGGCATGGATGACAAGAAGGTGCCGAAGGTTGTGCTCAAGGCGACGAATGAGAAGGCGTTGAAGGGCGTGGCGATGGATGATTTGAAGGCTTTTGCTGTGGATAAGGAGTAGAAGTAGAAGGGTGGGGTAGATGGGCTTGTATTGCTATTGGTACTACTGAATGATGGACATAGTACATGGTTGGGGATACAGAGACCTCTTGGACCATGGCACAGCGGACATACTTGCGTTGTGCCAACAGCTCGTAAATCTCATCATAGACCAACAGCAGCCATCTCTTCTTGCACCTCATCACTCTTTTCAATATCCTTGATCCCCTGATCAAGCGCCACCTCGACATTCTCCAAATCCCTCTCTGTCATCTCCATCAGCACCTCGGGATGCGCTCGCAGCTCCGCAATCCAAGCCTCAAACACCTTCTGAGCCCTCTCCTCAGCACTAATCTCAGCATCCGAGTCGACGGTAATGGCAGCGATGGCAGCAGTGTCCTCGGTGGTAGCATTGGCAATTCCAGTGGCATGCATCATAGTCTTCTCCGGTTCAACAAGATCCCTCCTCCCCATAACCCTCACACCGGCATAATAAATCTTCGCACCAATACGGCACAGATGTTTGTGCTTTTCCTTCCTGCATTGATCGTACATGTCCTCCTTGAAGTTCTTGTCGATTTTCTTGCGGGCTTGCTGTTGTGTTGTTTGATTAGTTTGTGGCTCTCGTGCATGGGAGAACACCGAAGGAAAAGACCAGCGCGGAATTGTGGGGCAAAAGGGAGGGTGAACTCACATGACCCAGCCTCCCCTGGCGCTTGAAGTTTCTATACGCAAAGTCATGGCGGATACATGCTGGTTTGACTGACTGACGTTAGGTCTCTATCTCTCTTTCTCTCCGGTACCAGTAAACTCACAGTCCCACTTAAACGGCCTGTCATCAACGCCTGTGCAGGCATCCGTCACCCAGTCCAGACCCGTAACACCGTACGAGGCCTCATGGTTATGCCACATGTCCATGAAGTGCCAGAGAGGCTCGACAAAGACCATGTAGTTCACGGCCTTGGCTTCTAGGGTGTGAGCCGTCATGTCTTTCTCGAGTTCTGCGGCGGCTTTCTTCTTGTCTTTGTGGGCGGAGGCATCGGGGATGAGGATGGCGGTCAGGGTGAGGAGGTTGAGAAGGGGGGTGTTGAACTTCATGATTGGCTGGTGGCTGGTGGTTGATGAGAATAGGGATGGGAAGATGGAGGATCAAGGTGCTAGGAGGGAGATGTGGAATTTAAATGGGGGCATTTTATCGTGATACTTGGAACGGTAAGATAGGGGACAGAATTTCATGATGTATTCAGTCTGGCATGGAGCCTAATGGAAGTATACAGTCCAGGGATGAAAGGGAGTTTTGATGACGATGGACGAGGGGGGAACATGACAGGTAGACGTGGATGACTTATCTTGTCTGGAAACCGACCCTTGAAAGACTACACGTATTCGCTGTGCTTGATCACGATGGAGAAGCGGGGAGGACGAAGAAAGGAGCGTGATGATGCATTTTGTCTGGAATTGAACCCTTCAAAATTACACGTATCCCCAGTCTAGAGCTTGTAGAACCAAAGAACACCCCCTTGGCGCCGACCAGAAACGCCCATCGCTGATGCCTAGAATAATGATCAAAAAGCGACCGAATAGCACTGCGCCTCCTTAGAGATGCCTGTGGGAAGACCACCCGATGCATATTCTCGTGATTGTATTACCCCTCTGTTCCCCATCACACGTCATGCACTCAACCAACCAAAAGACCCTTCACCCCGCTGCCAAACCAAACCAAACTCCTCGCGGCGAGTAGACCCGGGCCAGCATACGCGGGCGGACCCATGCCTTTGAGTCCACCCACGGCCCTGATTTCCAAATCTCCAGCCACGGGAACGTTGGTCCTGCCCTTTTGCAGAATAGCAAAGCGGAGCAGCACCTCCAGACACGTTATGCAGATACTCAGGACAATGAGTACGATGATGATCCACGTAATCTTGGTCATCTTCTTGTCGCTGATGGAGTCGGAGAGAATCTCGCCCAGATCTAAGAAGACTTGGCATCGCTCGTTGAGAACTTGGATACGGGGTTTGATCTCGAGGTATTCGCGGACGGCGGTGTAGAGTGGGTGGAGGGTAGGTTCAGAGTCCCAAAAGAAGCTTGGGGTGTCGAGCATATTCGATGCTGGGAGAGTGGTTAGTAATGGGTGGGTCGTTGGAGGGTGGATGAATACGTACATAGGTTCACCTCGACACGGCTGGTGAAGAGTTGTCCAATCATCTTGACTACATCCGTCCTCCTCATGCCCAACTTTCCAGTAAGTGCTAAGCGCTTCGGTACGTATTGCGCGGCAAGCATCGTCCGGCTCATGCTCTCCTCAAACAGACTAAGCTTGGTGCTCTGCGCGATGGCGTGGCTCATGGCTAGCTTGATCATGTGGTCTCCGCTCTTGAGGGTAATCATGTCGTTGTAGACGCGGGGACGCTGAATCTCGGGGTTGTATTCGAAATGGAACTCTTCCGTCTCAAAGTCGGACTCGGCCAAGGGTCGGCTTGCGATGTTGATTCCGGTAGCGACGGCGGAGAAGGTGAGGTCGGCCAAGATGTCCTTCTCCTGCTTCTCTGTGAAGTTCCAAAAAACGACGACACCGTACGAGAAGACGAACATCTCGCCAAAGGTCAGCGCATTGGGGGCGATTCTGGAGTTCTCGGTCGAGTCTCGGCGGTCGTGCATGCCGTCCCAGGGCTGGTCGAGCTCGTGGTCGTCGCGCACGTAGTATGTCTCTTCGTCGCCAAAGTAGCCTTCGTGATGATCGCGCTGCTCGTTGCGCTCGATTTCTTCGTCGAGCACCGTCTTTCCGCCTGGGCTCTTGAGCGCCGGGCTACTGCGGACCCGGTAGCCATCGTTTCCGGGCAGAAGCGGGAGGTGGTATACGGTGTAGAGGCAGTCGTCGTACAGCTTGGTGCGCGCATTGTGGGTGTCCTTGACGAACTGAGCGGTGCTCTTCATCTTATAGGCCTGGGCGGTGCAGTAGGCCGTGACGCGCGAGAGCTTATCCGTCCGCTTCGCTTTGGGCAGGCGCTCGGCATAGCTCTTGTCGTTTGGCCCGCCCTTGGGAGTCCGTCGCGCAAGGTCTTCGTCGGTGGGCGGGCCCTCGTACTCGTCGTCGTCAAAGTCGCCCTTCTCGTCCTCCTTCTGGCCCTCCGTCTCGGGCAGCAGGACGAGCTTTTCGCTGAGCTTGCTGGAGCGCGTGGGCATGTGCTGGGGGATCAGGCGGCCAGTGAGTCTGGGATCGAGCGGATGGCGGCCGCTGGGGGTGCGCGTGTGCATGATGGGGCGGTTGGCGTTGCCAGGTGGGCCGCGTCGCTGCTGCTGCGAGGGAATGTCGGAGGCGTACTGCAGGATGTTGTCCACCGAGATCAAGCGCGCGCCTGTCGCCTGTCGCTGTCCTGCGCCGGGTCGTTGGGGTGCTCGGGGTGCAGCGTCGCGGCTGTCGGTCATGAGCACCGTCGGCCCTCTCTTGCTCTTAGCTGTTGGCCCGCTCATTTTGCTGGTCGCTGCTATCCACTCCGCTAGTGCCTGTAGCTGCAAGAAGGTTTGGCACGTCAGATGTCGCGATTGCAAGCGATTGGAGGATTAGTGCGTTGGGCTGTAGAGTGCTGGTAGTGGTTCCGATAGAGCGATACAAGGCGCGACTGCTGATGCGCGCACTCTGCCGATAATGGAGGTAAGGTGCACTTCGACGTTGTGAAAGCCGGCCGCGGTTCACGTCATTGCGCCTTGGCGTGCATGCACCAACTCCACACCTAACGGCTCGCCAAACGTCAATCAGGGGTGCATACATCTCACGCTTGACTACTTTCTTATGGCATTTGAGCGCTGCTAAAGATGAATATCAATTGGTTGGGGGTTATATCTCAGTTGAACTCGCTATTGATCGTCTCACAGAGAACGCCTGAACACCATGCTCTAGAAAGAGAACAGCCGTCCATTACCAGAACATGGCCGATCCAAGCATCGGTTCAAAAACAAAGGAAAGCCTGCTGGAGGTCGGATGGCGACGAAGCGAGGGGGTATCTTCTCCATGTCCCCGCTGGTCTTGATTCCCTCCGCGCTTCGCATTCTGACAACGCCAAGAATAAACAAACATTACATGTGGTATCAAAACAAGCCACGCAGATGCACTGGCTTACAGGCGCTTGCCTGGAACGAAGATGAAGAGACAGCAGACGGCTACCGTGACAGCCAGGAACATGACCATGACAGTGATGGAGCGCCTGTTCAGCGTCTTCTTGACGAATGGCTCCCTGATCCGGTTGAAGTCGAAGAAGGTGTACTCGCTGAATCCAGCCAGGGCGAGGATTGGGTCAAGCATGTACTGGTGCGTGAAGATGAGGTAGATGGCGATAGTGAACGGGAGGATGATCTGTGCAAAACATTAGTTGATTCTCCATCGTATAACCGAAAGGTGACATACCCAGCAGCGCGTGCTTCTTGACTTGTCAAGGAATATAAGAATGAACGACGTCCACATGGCCGCAAAGAAGCTGATCAGTCCTACTATGAGACGGAGCATCATGCTCTGGGGCACAAGGTTGCCGAGGCCCTTGTTCTGCAAGAAACCTGGGTATGCGTCGCGCTCCATGGCTTGGAAGACGTAGTCTTTGGCACTGTCAAAGAGCTCGGGATCCGCACGCTGCTCTGGCCCTTCTATGGCCTCTTGCACCTCGGTCAGGATACTCTGGGGGATTATTATTTCCCGCTCGGACCCAGGGAGCAAGTACGTGTACAAGATCTTCTCTGCCGACGCGCGCAAGTCCTCTCTGCTGGGCTGAGTGTTATCAGTGGACGAGTTCTGGCCGGGCGAGCTCGAATCACCCGGAGTGTCTAGTAAGTTCAGGCTTGGTCGCGGGAACTCTCGGCTCTGATTGCTACCCTGACTGTTTTGTGGCGAGTGGTTGCGGCTGCCGCGGTCGGAACGAAGAAAGGCGGACAGGCGCTGGTCAGACAGATTGTCACCTTTCTCGTTAGAAGGGCCTTCTCCAGCGTTGTTCAACATGTAAGATGAACGCCTACTGTTTTTCTCGAGATCAGGAGTTTCTTCTATCATGCTCCTGTGTAACCGTCGGACGTAAAGCCTGCATAGCTGCAGATGTTGCGACACATCAAGCCTGTGAGTGGTCAGCGTGGTCCCAGAGCCTGGACATGGGATCGTCTTACCAGAAGTCCAAGTAGTCGACAGAGCGCTGCTGGTCGCGCATGTAGATGTAGAAGGAGAAGAGATCCAGCGGTGGCCTGGTTGTCCTACTAAGGACTTCGAAGAGCGTTGGGAATCGATTGCGGTGGGCTGGAGGCACCGGAGAGCCGGCATCCTGGGGGTGCGACATGACTGGGGTGAGTCGGGAGATGTGGTGTTAACGAGAGGCGCGCGACGATCGTCGCTGGTGGGTGAAGAATGGCAGGTATCGATAGACGGTAGACGCAGGGTCTGGCGTAGGCTGGCGGCGGGCGGTGTGTTTGCGTGGCTAGTGCTGTGGTTGCTGAGCGAACGGCGGCGAGCGTGGTGGTCCGGCCGGTCGCGACGCCAGGGACGACGTGCTGGTAATTGGGGGGAACAGGGCGACGATGGTCAGGTCGCGGGGAATTGAGCTTTGCGGCGTCGCGTCAGCGCCTCGGAGCGTCGTGAAGCTGGCGTGGCAGCGGGAAATTAGGAGTGAAGTCGGCACCTCTAGCTTGGCGCGACGGTTGGCGGAGCAGGGAGGCAGCGGCAGTGGCTTGCGATGGGCTTGGTCGCGCACTGCACGACGGCGCTGGTGTCGATAAGAAGCAACGGGTCACATGAAACTGCCTTCACTGTGCTGCGTCCGACTCGCGTCCTGTGGATGAGCTGGTGGATCAATTGTGCGCGGTGACGATGATGATGCAGCCCGGATGCAGCCCGTGTGCCTGAAACGCGAGGCTGTGAGGGTCGAGAAGGGCCGCGAATAGCTACTGCCTTTCCACGTGACAGTCCCTGCCACCCCAGCACCCAGCACCACCTGGACAGCTAACAAGGCAGCTGTCACCCATGGTAGCTGAAACGTTGAGAACACAGCGCAGAAGGCGGCGGCCGTATCTCTGGAAGTCATTCCTCAAGCTACTGTGCTTTCTTTTCGCCGATCATCGTCCCGTGGCCGCGCCAGGGACCCGCGTCATGGAGCTACTGCTTGTTTCTTCCAGGGCGACCAAGGCATAAGATGAGCAGAAAGTCGCTCCTGAGAGCTTTCACGCGTTCCTTGTGGGCGATATGCAGTAGATGCACGATGGACGCCTTGTGGCCTCCATGTCTCTCGTATGGATCGACGACTTCCAGGCAGCAGTCAGCTGGTTTCACAGCCCGGCGCAGCCTTTAAAGTCCGCATTGATTCAAAAACTCATTTCAGGGCATGCTTCCTTTGCGCACATTCCGAGTTTCAGTGCGATATCTATCAACAATGGCAGCTACCAGAGCCTTACCCGCAGACTTGAAGGAGGACCTGCTTCGCTCCCACGAAGGTCGGACATCCGTCCAGCCCAGCCCTCCGCCCTCCACATATACACTGCCCGATGGTTTCCTCGAAGGCCCAGCGCCCAATTTGACCAGGTCTAAAATTGATTTCAAGAAGGCTGGCTTGTTAGAGGACGAAAAGTCATGGGCTGTCATACTTGATGGTGTCCTCTCTGAAGACGAGTGCAATATTTTAGTGCAAGCAGCCGAGGCGACCGCAAACGGCAAGTGGGAAAGGGCTCTGGTCAACGTTGGTGGAGGCATGCAGGCTATGTATGAGGACACGAGAAAGTGTGGGCGCATCATCTGGGACAACAAAGACATCATGGCCAAGCTATGGGCGAGGATAGAGGCGTCGGTGCCTGAGATCCATCGATTGCAGAACTGGGTCGACGTCACAGGCAACGGCCCAGCGAGACGGGGCGAGACGTGGAAGGTGACCAGACTCAATGAACGCGGACGCTATCTCAAGTACATCGGCGGGGAGTATTTTAAACGTGTGTATTGCATTGCATCTTGCGACTATAGCTGCTGACTAGATCAGCGCATTGCGATGGGACCTACGAAACGCCCGACGGCACCGAGCGCTCTTACTTCACCCTGCACCTCTACCTCAATGATGCGGTATCGAAGAGCGGAGAGAAACAGCTCGAGGGTGGCGCCACTACATTCTTCAATAGCAGTATGAAGAGCCGCATAGACGTCGAGCCAAAGGCCGGACGTGTCCTGCTCTTCCAGCATCGCTTCCTCATTCACTCGGGCGATGACGTTGTGAAGGGTACTAAGTATACGTTGCGGACAGACATCATGTATACGCTGGAGAAGGACGTGGCATCGGAGCCGCAGGAGTAAGCCCTCCAGGAGAGGACGAGAGGAAAACGGGTAGTAGTCGCAGGGCTTCGTCTCGTTGGATTCGCATGAGTTTTTATTAGCAGTATCCCCGAACCAGAGGACAGCGCAAAGCGCACTTACATAGTAAAGAAAAAGTTGAACGGCCTGCCTCGCCAGAGTAATCAGAATCGAATGATACCGTGCCCTTTTTCGCCCAAAGGGCTACTCAAGGTCAAGTACGCTGCGTATTGTACTACAGTGTCACCTCTCACCCGAAGGATCAAAGCACACAATCTTCGCACCGACTCCCATAGGGACACCAGTTCCACGCTCCTCCCCGCCGAAGCAAGAAGTCGCGCTTTCTGGCGCCCTGAGTTTTCTGATGCCGGATGCAGACGTGAGTCACGCCAGGCTCTTACGAGCAGTACAGCCCACAAGTGGGCGTGATAAAAAGTGAAGATTACTCCGAATTTCTCATTTGCAGGGTAGGACGTGCTCTCGAAAGAGTGTCTGTAGGTGTGCAAAGAAACGCAGCGTTGGCAAGGCAGGCCGTTGGAGGAGCAAGGAAATAGTTTTTGGCGGGGTTTTGTAGCTGGCGCGCCGGCGCGCTAGTGCTCGGCTAAACTGCGCCCGTGACGCGGATCCACGTGGAGACTGCCCGCGTCTTTCCTCCGTGCCTACCGACCATGGTTTCCACCCATCTCTTTCCTTTGGTCATTCGTCCGAGTCTGGGAATGCCGAAGGATCATACAGATTATCGTTCTTTAGATGTAGGCGGCTCGATGTGGCGCCCACACCAGCCGCTTCACACATCACCAATAGTCGCCTCTCGCTTTATTAACTGTACTTATACGCAGCAATCACGACCAAGGTTCTTGGAGTTGCGATACTTCTCTCTTTCGTAGAGTATCTCCTTACGTGTTAGTCGTATGAAATGCGGGACGTGTGGTTGGCTCGTCGCGTCTGGGTCACCGCAGTAATTACGAGTGAATGCGCTCTCAATTTCACCTCATCTTTCACTCTCCAACAACTTGAGTTATTTCACAATGCGCCCTGTCCTTCAATCATTTTTGCTCTACATTGGAGTTGACTGACACGTCTGCACGACTATTTAAAATCGCGCGGCCCTTACAACAGCTTCCCAACCTCACCCCACAACCTAAACAACAACCATGTTCGAAAAGCTATTCGGTGTTACGAAGAAGACCTTCCTGGAGAAGAATGTCGTTCGCGCTGGCGAGAACGACAAATTCTACGAAGACAAGTGCACCTTCTGTAAGTATTTCCCCCTATCTTGACATGTAACTATGTACTAATATTCTTAGGTTGGGGTCCATACGACGAAGATCATCGCGCGGTTCGCGTGCAGCCTTGCGATCACGTATTCGGAGATGTCTGCCTCGAAGACATGATCAACGCCCCGAATGGAGACAAATGTCCCATCTGCCGAGCAGTATGGTTTCAGCCTCCTACCCAAATTTTCCTCGGACGTATCCTTCTGGATTACTTTATTCGTCTGCAAGTCTGGGCAATGTTCGCCTTCGGTCGACTCCAAGCGTTCTGGTACACACTCCAACCGTTCTGGTATCGACTTCCGGCCTGGATCAGGTTTCCAGTCAAGGTCGTCAACTCCTGGTACTACATGTCGAACGTGTGCTACCAGATTGACTTCGTCTTACGGCGGCTTACCAATATATATCCGAGGAACCCGATGTTGCAACCCCAGCTGGAACTGGGGATGCGGAATTACGCGATCGTTCAGGCCCTCTATGTTCATCTCATGATTTCATCAGGACGTTCCAGAGTCTCGGCGGTGAAGACCAGCATTTTCTACCTAGTAGACGAGATTTTTCAGACGCCATGGCAGTGGCAGAAGCTTCCAGTGCTGTTTCTCTGCGCCATTGCAATTAGCGTACCCGTGGGTTGCATGGACCTTCGACTATTGAGTCGGCGCGACCGTGTCATCTTCTCAACGACCGTATTCTCTGTTATATTGGTTCGCTTCTGTTTTGCTCAGATCGTAATAGCTTTGCTATACGGAGGGACCGTCTACAATCCGTCGATTTTTGATGCCCACCTCCGATCATAGGTGGGTGGGTTTTGAGCGGCAGAGGTAAGAGATTGTTTAAGCGTCGTTTATAGGCATCCACCTGCAATAAGCGTACTTCTACGCGTTGAGGTAAATTAATATTCTGTATCATAATCATGCTCCTTGGTTCTACCACTTTGTTGTCCAATATGCGCAAAAAGCTCTCTTCTCATTCGTCCAGCGTGGGAAACTGATTTGATGGTACCAACCATTTCCCACATCATCCTCATCCGTGGTTGCCCACCGCTCACCTATACTTAACACGCCCTTGCATTCCGTGCTGTACTAAACAAACTCTACAGACCTACCACCCAACTAAACACCAGCCATGTTCGAAAATTTCCTCGGCCTTTACGTCTCCAGAGACGAATTCTTGAAATGGCGGACCCTCCCGGCGGTACCGATCGACACATTCAACGACAACACATGCTGCCTCTGTTGGGAACCCTATGACAACAATACTCACGCCGGGATGCTCTTTCTACCTTGCAACCACGTTATGGGCCGAGACTGCCTTGCCGAGCTCGTTAAATCTCCAGGTGGACATTTATGTCCTATATGTCGGTGCCAGCTGTTCGATCCGCCATTTGCTGTTCAAGAGAAAGTCGGCCAGCTACTTTACGCTTGTGGCGTATTTTGCGCCGTTCTGATGGTTATGTTCATGGCGGTTGCGGCAACTTTCCTGTTGTGCGATGCCGTGATTTGGATAGAGCTTATGATCGAGGAGCGGAGTTTGAGAGGCCCATTGGAAATTCTGCGATGAACATGTTGTATGCTTGGAATACCATGTTCCTGCGGTTATAGGCGCTGGTCGACTTCGCTACAGAAATGGAGACATGAACACGCGGCCCCGAAGACGACGAACGCGCAGAAACTGCAACCTGCGTACGAGGAGTTGGATCTCAGCGAGCCCATCCACGATGCGCATGAAGGCGGACGATAATGTTTCCTACCACACCCTGGACCCATTCTGCGACGCCGACATCACTTGAGATCTGACACCAGTCTTGTTCTCCCACTTCCCCCAATTTGTCCCAAGCCTACCGCCACCATCACCAACCGACCTTACCGTACGGCGATGCGCTGCATCATAACTCGATACCGCTGGCAAACTGTTCATCGGGAAGTCTGGCGCAATAGTCGTCGCATTCGGGTCAGGCGGCCCGCTCGCTTGCCATTCCACCTTGATGGAGTTGTCTTTTGAAAGCTTGACACCGTTGTGCCAAAGCTCGAAAGAAACATCAGCGGGCCCGAGATTGACTTTGACGACATAGTTGATGCGATGGTATTTCGGGCCGGAGTTCCACCAGTGTCGGTTTTTGAGTTTGAAGAGGGATAGTGGGAGGGAGGAGAAGTCGGATTCGATCTTGCAGATTGAGCGGCAGGCTGAGGATGTCAGTATTGTGTTTCGTCATTTCGGGGATGTACACCCACCGTTGTTCTTTACTGTTGGAAGTTCAGACTTGTCGACTTCTGTGCATATTACTTCCGTGGGGTAGATTCTTGGTGGGTTGGGGTACTTGGATGAGGCTGGTGGGCACTTTCGTTGGAAGTTCTTTACTATGGGGAAGTCGCTCGAGACTGGCTCGCCCTGACACAGTCAGCATCTCGTTATCATATTGTACCCATAGATTGCGCTTACCTGCTTGATAAACCAGTCGATGCAATCCATAACGTATTCCTTCTTGTCCAAAGGATCAACTTCCGTCCTCAACCCAAAATGCGCAAGGTTGAACGGGTCGTACAGCATCTTGCACATCGTTCCGTATGATGCACGGCTACATCGCCACCCGAGCACCGATTGACCGGTCTTGAGCTTCTGAATACGGTCGGCCACGTTGCCTTTGCAGACCACGAGTTGCGGGTCGGGTGCGATGCGGATCTGCATGTGCTGTGCGTTGGAGTGTGGTGTGCTGCCGAATGCGTATCGGCTTCGTAGACAGTTTTGAACGTATGCGGAGTTGCCGAGACCTCCGGACAGGACGAGATGAGACTGAACTGGGTGAGACGGTGACATTATAGCATGACATGTAAGTTGACGTACCACTTGTTCGGATGGAAACTTTTGCTGAACACGAGCGAGCTGTTTGTCCATCATTTCGAAAAGCTTAGATACCTGAGTGTCGAAAAAGCCTTTCAAATCGTCGCTACAGAGGTGTCAGTTAAGAATACCACGAGTAGGTCTCATGTGTAAGTCTAACCGCTGGAAGTACATATCGCCGGCGCTAATAGCGCATTCTCGGTTGTTGTAAGCCTTGTCCAGCTTGGGTACCCGCACCGCAAAGGTCTCGGTATCCATCAAAGATTCTTCCGAGCCGTAATCGCATTTTGCACTGAGCAGTCAGTTAGGTTGTCATCGCTCTTGTCGATGATGCAAACAAACTTCTGGTATTCCTTCGAGATTCGCATTTCCCATGCCGCCTGATGTATGTCCTGAAGTCCCATTGGCTGAAGTCGGTCGGCATGCTCCAATCGCTGTAGCACCTCTTTTTCGTATAGACTGTCGAGTTGCGCGGCTCCGATAGTGGCACCTCCGTGGGGTCAGTATAGCACGGATGTAATGCTGCGAGAATCTTACCGAATACAACATCAATCTGTTCGAGAGTAAGAGAGCCACCTTGAGTGTTCTTCACTCGAAAAACCGATAGGTCCTATAACACTCAGCGAACTAGCCATGAGGCGGTACTACGATGCTTTCTCACCGTTGTACCTCCACCCACGTCGCATACGAAGAGTAACTCGTTCTCCTGTTGGCAATGTTACAGTCTGCGCAAGAGTATCATGATTTGCTAGGCGACTCACCTTGAAGATACCAGGCATACTACGCGCTGTATGTACCGCAGCCGCCTCAGCTTCTGTCAGCCCTATTGATGCTGTGTGGTTGGCGCACGACCCAAAACCAGCTGCGGAGATCGTCTTCCTGAATCGTTCC